ATGCTCATAAGTTACATTTGTAATAGAAAAATGCTAAATTTCAGTTCATTTAGTAAAAATAATATATTTTTTTCTTCTAAGTTCATGGGCCCCTTGAATTCTCTCCCTAAATCCTGAGAACCCCTGCCTACCTACCTTCGGTTCATTTTTAACTCTTAGTTTTTGAATCCCAAAAACCAAGTTATGAAAAAATAAATTATGAAAGAATATGAGAGAAAACAATGAAGGTCCAGTTTCCTTGTGGAATTGGCTGAAAGGCTTTATTCAACATTTTAAAATACATTTTTTTTTACATTCCATTACTTCCTGCTGGAATTAGCATTGTTCTCCTCAACGAACCACTAATGAACAGCCCGACAAGTATGACTTAATCATACAGCACTTTTAATCTGTGAAACCTATTTAGAATATTTGCACAAAATAGAAATATAATGATATGAAGGAGAGAATTACATACCATAATAAAATTTCAACTCAGAAGACCCAGCTGGTGGCAAGGCTTGGACCCTCTAGATCAGAAGTCCTTCAGGTTTTGTCTTAGAAACTTTCTTGTTAAAGGCTCTGGGGGTGAGGTGGTGGCGAGAGGATGTAAAAAAATAAAAAGAAGAAACAGATAAAGTCATGTTTTCAGAATATTACGTTCAGAAGAGTTACATTCTATTGCAGGTGTTCAGTTCATATGCCAAACCTCATATTTGCAAGTTGCTAACTGGCATTGCATGATTAGATTGAGTAATTGCACATGTCGGTAAAAAGCCATAATTACTGAGGAAAAATATATGCATTTTGTCTGGGTAGGGCTCACCCATTTAGCATATCTTTTAAATTTTGACCAATCATAAATCTGTTAGCAACAGAGAGAGTAGAATCCCATATTTTCTGTGGATCCTGGCACATGTGGGTTCTTGAATATTGTTTACTAAACAATAAGCTTTAACGTTAAGATGGAATGGAAAATCACTTAAAAGTTGGGAGAATCACTTACCTGTGAGAATCTTCGGGACTTTGTTAGAAATTTCTGTTGTTCTCCATTTTTCAAACTGGTGACAAAAACTCATAGTTTATTTACAAATAGAAAGTAACACTTCATAATACCTGACAGCTTTCAAAGCTAGATTGTATCTGTCCTTGTCTGAAGGGCTCCAATAACACTACTGTAAGATATTTTCTTCTGACCATCTGGCAGTTCTTAGGAACCAATCTCTAAACATTTTATAGCTACTGCACTGGTTACAGCTAATCCTTTCAATGAATGAGCTGGAAAATGTAGATACATCAATATCATATTCTTTTAGAGCCCATTTAATCCATGCCCTATTATTATTTCGTTTAATAGGGCCATTATCTTCTGTGGAAATGAAAAGTAATTTGTCAGAATCATTTCTTAAAATTTAAAGATCAATCTATGCAAATTTTTTTAAATAAAAGAAACCATAGGGGTTTTTTTAAAAAAGAATCTCAAAAACACTCATTAAAAGTCTCAGAAATGGGAATCTGGAGCTTAGATTCCACACACATCTTTGGTCTTATTTTTCAATCTGGATTTAAAAATGTCTAGTGTAATAACCAAGCTTGTGTTGGGCCAACAGTATTCCTGAGAGAGTGGATATTAATGGTGGAGTTGAAACCTTAGCAAGGTCGATAAAAAAACAACTTCTGTGTTTCTCTTTTGTTTGCTTTAAGAAGCTAAGAAGAGATTTATTCCAGTATGAGAATTTTATAAATTTTTCTTCAAAACAATTTGGTTTGTTACTCAATGGACTTTGAATAACTAATGATTTTTAAATACCTTATCTTGTGAGTTATGAATAAAAGTAATGGAAAATGTTTGAGATTCTTATTTCAACCTAGGTTTTATTTCACAAAAAAACCCCTATGTTGGTTGAAAACTTTTGTTAGAAAGGCTTTTATTTATTTCCACATTCTGAAATTTACATTTATCATTGAATATAAATGAAAATAGTTATTGATCCTTTATTCAAACTGAGTTTAAAACTGTGCACAATACTTTGTCCCCAGTTTCACTATTCCACTACACACCGCCACCAACTTTTTCACAGAAACCTTTTCCCACCTAATGTTTTGCTCTTTCATATTTAGGTGCGTTAACTTGGGCAAGTTTTTCTTCCTATTATTGTTCAGTTAAAATACACAAACGCACGCATGCACACGTATAAGCGAACTCTTCATAGGTCGTAGGATACTGATTTGTTATTCCCATAGTTCTTTGGTATCAACATTAATTTTAAAAATTTCTTTAGAGAGTTTTATGGTCACTTCTAGGATATCTTTTCTTCTTCTTTTCTACCAGATGGGGATTAACGCTACCCCGATGTTAAAGGGACTCAGGAATTTATGTAAGGTTCGGCTAACAATTAGATGACTCTGTGGAGTAGAATCCCTCAGCTTCCTTTTCTGTATTGTTTTCTTCTTCCAATTACCAGGTTTCTGTCATAGCCTAAATATAGAGAGGGAATGATGTCTCCAAATTAATTAGTAACATCTGGCTATATTCTGATATTCTTTGAATATTAATATCAAATAAATCTATAAAACTGGAAGAAATCTTCAGAGGTCAGCCACCAACATAGTGTCCTTTCTTGGAGAGACTACGTTTCCAGAAAGAGGAAAGCTATAGTCTCTGTTCTGGTATGTAGTTACTTTTAATATCGAATACTTCACATAGCTAAACAAACTCTTTCTTACTATTCTCTTAATTCCATTCTCCTATTTCATTTTCTCTTATTCTAAAACATGGAACACCATTGTTTTGTAAACACGTTCTTTTCAAAATGAGAAATGTTTAACTTTTCAACATTTCCCCTATTCTCTTAATGAATTTTTAAATTTTTCCTAATTAAGTAGGACAGTTTGGAAAACACCATGTTAAAAGGTTATAAAACTGTTATCATCCCATGTCCTTTAAGAGTTGGCTATGGTATGGGAGGTAACACACACAGGACATAAAGCCAGTGGTGTGCCCCTGTACCTCTCAGATGGTGAACCGGGGGTATCTTCTGTGAGGTAAATCTGAGGTGTCTTCTAGGGCTGCAGTGAGGGGTGACTTAGTTAATGATATAAAAACAAAATGTGTTTAGAAACAGGGAACAATGGTTGACACAGAAAAAAAAAATCAACCTAAATGCCCATCAGTAGATGATTGGATCAAAAAGTTATGGTACAGATACACAATGGAATACTATGCAGCAGAAAGAAAAAAAGAACTACTAAACTTCGTGACAGCATGGATGGAACTGGAGAGCATTATGCTAAGTGAAATAAGCCAGGGGGCGAAAGACAAATACCATATGATCTCACCTATAAGCGGAACCTAACCAACAATGCAAAGATGTAAGGAAAATAAGACCAGCAACACTGAAAGGAAAAGAAACCAACAGAGACAAGAGGGAAGGAGGGAGGGGGGGTGGGGAAAAGGAAGGAAAGGGGAAAGTCAAGGAACATATAGCAAGGACTCATGGACAAAACCAAAGGGGAAGAGCTGAGGGAGGGAAGGAGGGAGGGGGCAAGGGAAAGTGGTGGAGGGTAGGCAGAGACAAATGTATTTGAAAAAATAAATTAAAATAAAATTTAAAAAAAAAGAAAAAAAATCATCATCCCATGTCCAGAGGTAATAATTTAGTGCATGTGCTTTGCTTCTTTTTTTCTTCTTTCTATAGATCTGTAGTTTTTGTGTTTTATAAAAATTATATACTATTTTGTAATTTTCTTTTTAAAGATTTATCAATTTTGATAATCTTCTACCCTATTATTTTTAATGACTACATAATATTCCATAGTGTAAATGTGCCATATGACCCAACCTGTTTTCCCAACATTTTTATGAAGAAAACAAGGTATAAAAATGTTGTAATAATACTGCTTAGATTCTAAAACTAATATTTTATTGTACTTAATCACATATCAATTGAACTAGCCCTCGCTCTATCTGTTAATTCATCTTGTATTTTTATGTACCTCACACTAAGCTGTAGACATTAGTATACTCCTCCCCCTTCAAGTACTTAAGCATCATTAACCAGAGTTCAGTATTTTCTTATGTGCCCAACCTATATTTTTAAAAATTATTTTACTTTTAAATTGTTTTCCAATCTTTTGGCAAAAAACATTTATTAATACAATCGAATCAGCTTTATATTGCCACATAACAAAATATCCCAAGATTTAGTGGCTTGACAACAAGAAACTAATGGATTTGTAGGTCAGCAGTGCAGGTTGAACTCAGGGGGCAATTTTTCTGTTGGCCACACTGGTTATTCATGCCACTAGTCATCTGACAGCTCTACTGAGTCATCTGGAGCAACATCGTCTCACTTGATAAATTCCTAGAATTGGAGTTATTTATAAAGTTAGACATACACATAGCCGAATTACCCTCATTAATTATTTAAAATGTTTTTCTTCCTGCAGTTTCATTTTGCATTTTTTAAAAATTCAAAGTCACTTTTCTTCAGAATAACTTTTTGAGATACTAGTTGCATTTATTTTATTGAATATGTTGAGTTAGGCATTAAGAATGACATAAGAGAAAAATGCAAGACATTGTCTTAGTTCTTCAGGAATTATAATCTAATTGAGAGGATAACACCAACACCACTTATAAAATAGTCAAATTGAATTATAAGACTGTATGGTTGTCAAATTGCTTACCTCTTTCCCCTTTTTGGAAGATAGGCTGGGTAAATTACTTGAATCTAGTAAATATTCAGTAAATATTTAGTGATTGCCATTACATTTCAGAGAAGGGCTGAGTTAAAGTTCTCTAGACTAGGGGTTTTGTTAAGGAGGTAGGACTTGATTTAGGCCTTGGACTAGAGGTAAAATTTGTTTTTGTTTTTTTTACTATTATAAAAGTTTATTTAACAAAAAAAGTTCAATATGAAAATGTACACAACCCTATTTTTATGTTGTAGTACGGCAGGTACTGTGGAGAGGGGACTTGTGGAAGCAGTTGATTTCTCTGGTGAACAAATTCTTTGTACTCATTCCAGTGCTTCTAACATGTTACCACTGCCTCCTAGAATCACCATTCCAATATTGCTCTGTTGACCACTAGTTGCCATCTCCACGCCATTCATAAAGGAATCAAATCCCTTTAATAATATTCCTTGGACATGCCTGCCACCATTCAATTTCAACACTAACTTGTTGTTCATAAATTTTTTTAACTGTGAAGGGTGAGCTTTGTTCATGGTGTCTACTCAGCAAGCTCAGAGACCTCCAAATGGAATTCTAGAGGTACCATTTGGATAAACTGAGGAAAAATGTATAGATTCATATACAGAATCATTTGTCTGAAATTTATTTTATTTTGAACTCAAAAAAAATTATGGTTGAAAGTTACCTTATTTATCATGAACACGATACTTTTCTGCTGAAATATTTACTGACTGAGCCCATAAAGCGATGACCGAAGTGCTTGTTTCACAACCACATTTTTATTTCTGACTATTTTTTATAGTACAAAGTGTGACAAGCAAGAAATAACCAAATTCTCAAATTCAGACACTTTTTCTTGTCTCCAAACCCCATGTTTCAAAGTTGGAGGATTTACATCATATTGGAGGAAATATGTTTGGGGGATTTTGAGGGTACAAACAAGCCTATAAAAGCTCATCTAAATTTTTTATACATTCACTAAAATAAAATATTAATTTTAGCACTCTAAATACATATTAAAAGTTATAATGAGATTCTGAAAATTAAATTTTGAAGAATTAAAGCTATAAACTTTGAAGGTTCTCTATTATCCTTGATTTCAATTCTAACAAATTCATTTTGCTTTTGTTGCAGAGGATGCTCATGTGAATTTTTTTTTTCTTTTTCTTGAGTGCCCTTGTCGATCCTCTAGCAAATGTTATGATGTGGGGTTCCTACCATGGTCCCAGAGACAGATAAAACTGGACGTATAAGCTGTCTGTGGCTCATTTTATTTAGCCAGCGTGAATAAGTATTGTCCCCCGTTTCAGTGTGTTATATTGCCTTCGGTCCCCCCTGAGTGCCACCAGTCCCAGGTGAGCTTGGCCTCCTCAGCCTGAAAGATATGGAAGTGCAATTCCAAAGCCTTTGTATATTTTTTCTGTTTTCTGTCCCTCTCCCAGGACATTCATGGTAATAATTCCCTTCTCCTCTACTTTATTTCCCTTTTCTTATTCTACCCCCCAATTCATTCCTTTTTTAATTGCTTGTGGGATAGGGAATCTAAACTCTTGAGAATGAAGAAGCCATGATTGGTGAATTTCAGTTATGGGGAACTCAAAGTTGACAAATGATTGTTTCTTATGTCTGTACTTATTATACATAATGCATGTTACTCTCTTCCTATTTGTTATCTTAGCTCTACTCTGCTGCTATTGCTCAAAACATTTTCGTAATAGTCTTCTCAAACTATAGCACATTCTCTTAAATATACTTGGTGGTGGCAAATCTTTCTGGGGGGGTAAGGTTTATTTTAGAAATGGGTACAGGTCATTTACAGTCACTATTGGTGGTTTAAGTGGATGGAATCACGCTGGGTAACATGTCTTCACATATATATTCACTTACACCCACAGGGTTACGATTACACATATATAAAGTAATCATTGAAAAAATGTAGTTTCCTAAGGTGTTTGTTGTTTTGTTTGTTTAGGCACTACACTTTAGAATTTTGAAAATCCAAATGTCATAACTGAAAAGGAGGCTTAGAGGTTATTTTAGTAACCTACAGTAACTAAGACACAGAAAAAACATGAGGTCACTCCTCTGAGGTCTTGTGGTCAGTGACTGAGAACTCTTGAGATACTCGTTTCTTCCTCTAGGATCACACATCTGTCTTGTCTTAATTCCCTAATGTAAGAGTGAGTGCAGACAGAGTGGACTAGCCCTTACATGTAGAGGTTCTTAAGACTTTATGTCATTAATGATAGAAAATAGCCACCTTTATACATAGAGTGTCTTTGAAATATTTCAATAGTTCCAAATTCCATTTGTAGAATTAGGATAATTTATAGGCAAATTTATATATATCATTTGAAGAATGTGAGGCTACACTCAACTAAATAGTTTACATGATTATCATTCAAAATGAACTACTCCAGGATCATCAATTTTTGTGTTTTCTGAGTTTTTGGACCATTTCAATCATATTATAAAGTCAGCTAGGTACAACTTTAAAAAATCTGTACATTTAAACTAGCCCCTTAAATACAGGGTCCTGCAGAAGTAACACCATTGAGTATGGTTGTGGGAGTATGTGAATGTCTCAGACAAGATGGACAGCAATTTGAACATTTCACCCAAAATGTCATGTGGTGTGCTTGAGTGTGATGTTGTTATGTTACAAGATTATATGCTTATGATTTTGTAATACAATATTTTTATGTAATAAAAAAGAGGCATTATTTGTGCTGGAACCTGTATTAACCAAAAATGATCCCCATTGCCACAATAAACTATGTGGCCAGAATATCTATTTTGTAAAGTGATTTGGAAAGGAAAACAGCTGGTGAGGAAATTAGATGATAATACATGATCATTCAGAGAAATAGATTGGCTGAAAAAATTGCCTCTCAAAATGACAAATATCCTTTTCCATTTAAGTAACCTAAAAGATGAGTTTCTTTAGCATTTACAGAGTCAAAAGATCTTAGTCTCTATGATTTCCATTCAATGCTGGAAGAGACTAGAGAGAGTAATGGTATCCAAAGCTATCCACAGACTGCTGCTAGCCTATGACAAGCAGTCTGCGATTGCACTTCAGCCTGTCAGTACCGAAATGAGAAAGAGGAAGATGATGTGGTGAGTTTGTCATAAAGCTAAATATACTCAGCTTTTTTTAATTGAAATGTAATTTTTTAATGGTAGTAATAATAGACCTTTGCCATTATTGTTTTTTATACTGTTCTTATTTAGCAAAGTTGGAGCCCCAAAATTAAAAAAAAAAAATTGTATCATTCAGGAAATCACAGCAATCTGGGCACCGTTGCCTTTGAGGCCAACCAGCTCAGTTATCTGCCCTTTTGGAATATAAGTAAAGTGCCTGTTATGAATTTCAATTATTTAATACAAGTGGAATGAATTGCTTACAAGGTTCTTAATATGACCTCCCCAATATTACTCCGAGAGACCCGTCTTCCATAGTTTTACTGTTGGTAGTTTATTGCAGCTGTTTCTAGGCAGTGATTGCTTCCCTTTCATTTTCATGACCATCCTGAAGCTTTCATTGAAGCTCAGCCTACTTATATAGATTCTGAATTGTTTGTCAGTATTACTGGCTCATAATTGCGATGTGTCACACAGCACTTCTTCCTGTTCTTATAACAGTTCTGTGGTTTTTAAAAGGTATTTTGGTTCCTTTATCATCTGATGGAACATTTTGCCTCAAAAGGAAATTCATTCTGCGCAGACAGGCTGCAAATTCCCATGACATGGCAGGCTCATCTGTCAAAGAATATTTTTTATTCCCATTTACCTCTTTGATTACATCTGGATGCCCCAGTAATGCTGATGAGATCATTCTAACTCCTAAGAACATTTTTCTCATGTTTTCCATCATCTTCAATAACATAAAAAGGTTTAATTCACAGTGGAAATGGTAGAGAAATCTCTATTTTTTTACTTAGGGAGCTAATTTTGGGAAGGAAGCTTGATATATGAAACTTTAAAAGTATTTTAGAAATTAGCAGTACTTATGTTTATTTTTTAACTGAATGCTAAGTTGCTCCTGCATGTATCATCATATTTGCATATCCTATGGGTTCTAGCAGTGAGCATTAAAGCTCTAATGATTTAAAGGAAAAAAGATATTTTCTGGGTTTTTTGGGGGGGGGTCAACTCTACCTATAATGTATTGAAAGAATAGGAAATATTATGAATTACTGATACTTTTTAAAGTGAAATGTGGTGTTTTGTGTGCCATAATAAGAACCAAAATAGAAGAATTCTTGGCTATAGTGGTTTAAGAGCAGAAATGTATATTTGATGTGATTAGATGGCTAATTGGCATTTTAAATGAAGTCTGTATTTGTGCATATGTAAGTAATTATGCATTGAAAATATTCTGAATTTTTATCCTCTATTTTTGTCCAAATTATAGTACTATGTATGCTTAATATTTATTTTTTTAACAATTTTATATTGTGAACCATTTAAACTGTTCACAAAAGTAATGACAATACTATGAGCTCAATACACCCGTCACCCACTTTAATTACCAAAGCACGCTGATCTTTGTTTGCTTATCTCTCCATTTACCATTCTCTCCCGGCTAGATCATATCCCATCAAATATATTAGATATTTCATCCTTAAATATTTTTACCCATAAATTGTATATCAATAATACATCTAAAATATCCTACCTTAATATTGTCAAGTATACAAAGGCATCAAGCTTCCCTCCCTCTTGGTTATCTCAACACAGACACACACACACACACACACACACACACACACACACAGAGTTTGTTTTAATCTGGAACAAATTAGAGTTTACACATTGTATTTGGCTAATATTTTTCCTAAATCTCCTTAACTCAGGTTTTCTCTCCCTCCCTTTTTTATTTTCTTGCTAATCATTTGTGGAAGAAACTGGGCAATTTGTCCTGTAGAATTTCCACTTATTCTGGATTATTCTGATTACACCCCCTTGGGGTTGTTGCTACCAGGTGCCCCTCAAGTGTTAGTTTCAGTATTTTATTCTAAGATTATCTCCCATCTTTTGCTTTGAATGTAAATCTCAACATGTTTTCATTTCTCTACTTCGTTCTAGTAAAGAACTTAATTTACTTTATTCAGTGAAGTCCGGTCTCCAAATCTGTTTCTTGCCATACCAATCACAATTGCAGGTATTTTAGAAGAGAAAATTACATATAAAAAGAGTGCTTTCCCCTTGTTTCGAGACCTCGAAAAGAGAGATTAATCAACTATAAATTTAGCCTGTTCTTACTTGTGGGTGGCATAGAGTTCTACTGAGGCGTACAAAGGCCATTTTAAGCCCTTTAGGTAAGAGTCTTTGCAAATGATTCCTAATATGGTCATAATTCTTAATTACTAAGTGCTTGTTGACTGCTGTAATTTTATAAAATTCAGTTTCTGAAATTGCAAAATTTGTTCCAATGGACTAACTCTCCTCTTCCTAACGCTTCTAATTTAGTGTTTCTCTGCTGGCTTGGAGGGCAATGGGGGAGAATGGGCTCATTTCCAGAAGGATGAAT